CACACTCATTGAGCCTTCGTAATCGTTTGAAATATCCCCATCGAACGCGGTATCCTCGAATCTGTTATGATAAGCCCTAACAATTCATGGAATAAAATGCAGGGTGTCCCATCTAGAAATCAAAAGTTGCGGTCGTTTCTAGTGGAACAGAAAATAATGGACCATGCAGATATTGTTTTGTCAGTGGATGAGCAATTTGGTATACTTGCTGCCCACGAATTCTAGAAATCCGATCTAGAATCAATTAGAAGATACAGCAGTGGCCGTTTTCTGTGCACTTCTCTGTATATTCCAATATGATAGGCGTGAGTAACACAACGGTATAGAAAATATTGAGAGGAAATAAAACTAATAGAAATATTTAGGCTCCGTAAAAGCATGATTATTGAAATGAGGGAAATAAAGCCTGATGAATTTGATACAAATGGTTTTCGTCGTTTTGAAAAACAAGTACCTATATGTGATTATTGTGAATATAATGAAAGTCCTTATGAAATACTATCAATACAGGAAACTATCGATATAAAATGAATAGGTATGTGACGAAAAGTTGACTAGAGTGTACAACATCATTATATGATAATACCTTCCAATGCAGTCAAAATAATGGAAAAACAAAATTAGACTTCAAAGGAGAAGAAACAGTTCTTCTGGGGCCTTATTTATATTACTAACTATTTGGTACGTAATGGCCCTTTCTCAATAAGATGATAATTATGGTGTGAGGGTGACCGACTATTTTCATTTTTTTTTTGCTTATTTCAGTATCTTTGGTAGAAGTCTCTGGTTTATCAAAGTGGAATGAAATCAAAACTATCCTAAATAATTACCTCCTATGTGAGTAGCAGATCAATCAACAGGGCTACATGTTTCGGAAATATATATGACTATCATCAGCCATACATCTAATGATTATAGTCCTATAATTACTTGGAAGTGAAGTGAATGAGTACATGAAACACATGGATTAATGATAATATACCCACATGAGAATGATAACAAGTTGCTATAGATATTACCTAATGAAATTGAAAATGGTGATAGTTTTCATTTTATCCCCAAGCCTCAACAATATCAAGGCGGAAACCAGCTTTGAGAACTGTCAGGCACACATCAGCGATAACTCGAAATATTATAAAAACGTGTCCATCTTGCTCAACACAAGGCAGGTCGGAAAGCGTACTAACATGTGTCACGAATCACAAGTCAATGAAAAAGGCATTAAAAATACCAATCTTCACAACTAACGTTGATCCCATGCTATGTTTTCTTCCCTACGCCCATGAAAACTCGGAGTGCCTATTATTTCCTTTGACTTAATTAGGCCGGCGAAGCGGCGCGTTTGTCGGCGAAAGGCCTGCCCCAGCCGCGCGTTTGTCGGAAATTCGGAGCTCCTCGTAGTCCGTACTTTGTTGTATTAAAGCGGCAAAATCGACTCTACCCAGAAAAGGGTTATACGTATAATTCATGAAATATCAACGCCGCTCTAGTGGTTACTCTGGAAGATTTCTCTTTGAAAATTTGCGACAACATTCCATTGCCACATTCCATTACTTCGCCTTTTAAACGAACAGACTATAGCCACTAGCAGTTGAGTACTTAATTCTTGATGGTAGTTCATTATAAATTTTGGTAATACTGTAACTGTAAGAGCGTTGAAACTTGAAAGTGAGTACTTTTATGTAGGGGTACTGTTAAGGTTCCTTTAGACCTGCTATTGAGGTTATGAATTTCAGTTTCTCATGAAGATACGGCGGAGTTTTGTCTGTTATAACAGGTGGCTGTCTTTATTGACTATTAGTTCATGAAATTACGAAAAAAACCTCGGTAGTGAAAACACATTTTACGCCTTGAAAAGTTGAAAAGGAGTAAATAATGGTAGGTACTATAGCTAGTGGTGGAAAAAAATATTTCATAATTGTTTGGTAGCGATTTTCAATTTTTATCCGCGATTAAATTCTGATTTTATTAAATATTGGGGCGCCGTAGATCAAAAACTATTCGAAAAAATGCACTATCACCAAAGTTGTGCACAACTGTATTTTCTGCACATTTTATTTGACCTCTTTTAATAGCACCTACCCCAACGGTGCTATTTTCCACGAAGCGCCGCGAGTCAGAGTTTTCATCCCCTCACCCCTCGAGCGGCAACCCCCGAGGTTGCAAACTCAGGAAACTTATCTACCATCCCAAAAAATTTCATTTCTTTCCTACCTTTTCTAGATACTGATAAGAATACTCAATAACGACCTGTTATTAGGATATTTCAAGTAGAGCATGTGGTGATGTAGACAAAACTTTGTTAAAACAGGAAAAAAAAGGAAAGAACTTTCTGACTGAAATAGTACATTATACCTACGTCAAGGGATAGAAATTCAAGTTTTTTTCCAAGGTGCTTCGCCCTCGAGCTACAAAGCACCGAGGGAAAATAGCATTCTGTCCTGAGGTGTATACAGAGAAGTGTACAAAAAAAAGGCCAGGACTGTAACTTCTGAATTATTCGAGATGGCAGCTAGTATACCAAATTGCTCATTAATTGACGAAACAATTTTTGATCTATCACTTCCGGTTTTACTGAAAACGACCCCAACTTTTGATTTTTAAATGGCACACCCTGTATTGTATTCCATAATCGGTTAGGTATTGTCATAACAAATTCATCTATACCGGGTTTGATAGGGTTATTTCAAACGATTACGCAGATATTCGCGTTCTGAGTTTCCATATGCTCAATGAGTGTGACAGAGAAAGAAGTTTTGATATTGCGAAGTCACGCCCATTGAGCTTATGGAAAGAGATGTTTATGGAAACTTCGAACGCAAATATATTTGTAATTGTTTGAAATAACCCTATAAAACCCGGTATCGTTGAATCCGTCATGATAATCCCTAACCGATGATGGAATACAATACAGGGTGTCCCATTTGAAAATCAAAAGTTGGGGTAGTTTCCGGTGAAACTGGAAGTGATAGATGAAAAATTGTTTCATCAATTAATGAGCAATTTGTATAGCTGCTACCCACCAATATTCAAAACCTTATCTAGAATAATTCGAAAGTTACATTCCTGGCCGTTTTTTGTGCACTTCTTTGTACACTATTTTTTACGCTGGCGAAAACAATAATCAAGAAATAATAAAAATTTTATCAAAGTGTTTTGTCATAATTAGTAGTAGTATAGTTTGTGGAATTAGTATCTTGACAACCCATGGTGACAGCGAATATCAAACTGAAATTTATGAAAACATCTTTGAAAATGGTTAACGGATATGGAACAAAAAATCGAGGGATAACCCCAAAAAACTATTGATACTGCTTCTGCAGTGATTCTCAACTTGCTACCAGTGAGATCTAGATTTCTGTATGATGCTGCTTATACTTGCTTCAGAGAAGGGTGTTCCGAAAAGAAAGCGCAGAGCTATGTGGAAAACATAAAAATATGTCACATTATCTCCCTAGGGATTGATACGAGACTTCTACCCCTCTTTTGTTACCAGAGAAACTAACTTCTACTCTTGCCGGCGTAAAAACGTATCTATTTATTGAAAATCACTGACTAATGTGACATGAATGTGACTTACGTCAAAACGATACATTATACAGAGTGAAATATTCTCGAAACATTGGAATTCCATGCTAGTAAAACGAACATCCCCAATCAGCTAATGCTGGTCTTGGATCATACTCTTGCGATAAAGTAATAAAATCTAGTATGTATAATCTATCTATGATTTATTTAAAGAAGTAAGTACTATTTACAGATGAGTAAAAAAATCTAGTTTGTATAATCCTAGTATGACTCATTTAAAGTACAGTTTGTACTTGAAAATATATATTTTATTCATATATATTATCTCTTCGACGCTTTTCTTAAACTTGCCATAACTATGACCTTGTTTTATTTCATCAGGAATCAAGACTAATAGGATTATTTAGTGCAATATTGGTAATAACATTCGGCAGTGCCATATCAATTTACGATTTTGTTGACTTGTTCTTTCAATTCGGAAGATACACTCCAGTTGAATTAAATTTTCGTAACTGTATAGGATATCACTGGGTGTTCTTTTGTCCATATTAAACAGCATTTTTAAAACCTTAGGCTGTAGAATTTGCATTGTTTTGGAGTTTTCTTAGAAATTTTCCTATGATTAGCGTGCATACGCTTTGGAAATGTACATCCGCAAATTACAGAAATTGTCTGGATATGAAGATTGAGGAATTACTTACTATTGCTCTTCCAATTATCTCGGAAGATTCCTTCTTGCATGTAGATCATCAGGATGATATTTCTTTTACTCATGCTTTCGAGGTAAACAATTTCTATTTATATTAGTGTTGTTTCACACTTGGAGAAACAGTTATGTAAATGTGAGTGTATCTCTTATTTTCTTGTATCTCCTAGTAAGATGGTGTAGAGGGCAGTTGCCGAATAACTAACGGGTATTTACCGAATGTTTGGTCTCATACGGTGGTAACACAAGATGATGAGTAATTGGTTTGATCTTGCCGAAATAGGTAGATATTTACAAAATCATAAATAAACTCACAACTCACTGGCAAAAAAAATCGGCCACCCCGAAAATTAAGTTCCCATAAACCGTACATTTGATATTAAAATTAATAGTTTAGCTGTTATTTTCCTTAGTTATGGGTGGCAGGTATTTTTTAGGGATCTACTAAGCCGCTTTCAGTCACAAACTTCGAGTAGTTGCCAACGTGAAAAACAGCCATCTTCCAATTATTGGATATCCGATGTCTCGACTATTTTTTCAACTCGGCTACGCCTCGTTAAAAAAATCAGATCTCGATCACCAAAGTAGCATATCGCGCTCTAGATACAAAAATAATTAAATTATGTAAATGTTCATTTACTCTTTCATACATTTCCTTGTTGAAAACATGTATGTTTCTTGGGAATAATAAGGATTATTATTATTATTATTCTATTAAAATACTTTATCATCACAGGTTTTTTGATTTGATATTTTTAATTTGCAGAAAAAAAACTTCAGAAATAGAATTTGATGTCTTGACATGTCTATTCCACATCTTGAATAGGCACTATCCATATTTTGAAATCAACGATAAATCAAATATTCATTTGAGCGACCTTCCTTATAATGATATTGCCTCCATAACGTCCCTTTTGATGCACTACACCTGCATACACGATAGACGTGATGTTTTAACTTCGCCATTGTGCCACACTCTGCAACCAGTCACACAGTTGGGCATAAAAACTTTTCTTGAAAAGGTACAGGAATGCCCAAAACTGACCTCCGAAGAACTTGGCAAAATTGTATTAACATGTCTAGAGGACAAGAACGATAAAAATACCAACCAGTCTCAGAAATGGCTGTCAGTTGCTCAGTCATCAAGTACTTCGAAACAGAGTCCTCTGTTAGATATTCTGAAAACTCCTGCGTCGAAACTGAGCAGGCTGCAGGAAAAAGACAGAGAAATAACAAGGCTAATAACAGATTTGGAGTTGATTCAGGAGGAGAAGGAGAATCTGGAAGAAGATGTTCGGTTGCAAATTGAAAAAAATAAAAAACTCGGTAAGTTCTTTCAGAGATTATAGTCTGCTAGATCTAGCTGAAACATGATAGGAGGTAGGGCTATTCCTGATGCCGATTTCGAAGCTATTTTTATTGTATGTTATTTCGCTATTTTATTTATAAAATGTGATAAAAAATGCCATATTGAAGCATACCATGTTTTATTGAAGGAATTGGTGGTTTGGAGAAGAAGTTCCCTCACAACGAAAACATAAAAAACAACTTTTTTTCTTGATTCTTGAATAGCAGACGGTATATTACAATCACTTTACGGAGCATAAAATCCTGTTCCACCTTATATTTTCAATAATTTATTGATGAACGATATTGCAAGACCTAAGACAGCTGATATAATGAAATGTATACTTGAAAGTGGTGAATGTGGATACTTTGAATTAGTCTTCACAGTCCAGATCTCAATCCAATTGATTGTTTTTGTGATTTTTTTAGTGGCATGTATCAAAACACATTATGTTCTGTGTAGCAAACAATTTCATTCATCATTCATCCTTTATAAAGCGAATTAGTCGTAAGCCACAAGTTTTAAGTCTTGAGAGATAAATGTTGGTCAACCTTATGCCTCAAAACTTGTTACATTGAAAACAGGACTTAATGACTATGACTAAAACAACCGTGGAAATTTGACTCGAGCTTCACAAAAAAATTTAAAATCAATAGGTGCTTTCATTCATTTCACTAGTAATGATAGCATTCAACATGTCGGTTATACGAGAAATCCGGCATACTCCTACTGAATGAATTAGACAATATTCTGGTTTTCACCAATGCAAATGATACATAATGATTTACAAGCTACAAACTTAAATTCGAGTCAAAAGTCGGTACCGTTCGATTCATTTGATATTGTTTTGCTATTTCAACATTATTTTGCAGAGAAACAGTTGAAGCAGAAAAATATTGAAATATCTAGGCTGAAAAGTGAGGTTATCACTCTTGAAAATCGTACACCTCCATATTACCAAGACAAGGATTTCAGGGAAACTCAAAAAATTCTTCGAACAAAAATTGAAGCATTAGAACAGATTATTGAGCAGTGTGATAAAGAAAATGAAGAGCTTCAAAATGAACGAGATGCAGGAAGAATTCAGGTACTAACTTTTTTCATTATTTGGGAATGTGAGGGTGGAATTATAATGATTATTCATATACATTGCCCTGTGCGAAAGAACTTCTCATCCAGATTTAAACCTGGATAATTTTCACAGGAAGGAAGGAATGCTGGAAGTCATCTCCACAAATTTTAATGATATTTTGACTAAATCATGAGGGACATGTTTCGGTCTTATAAAATACCATTTTCAGCCTAATTGAAAGGTTTGGAGTTGAAAAAATTATTTTATTATAATGCTGCTATTCCTTGAACTGTCAATGCCCATAGTCAAGAGTTCCAAGGTTCTGAATAAACGAGTTCTCAATAAATGAAGGGCCCCGTGCCCTGAGAGCGTCTTCAATTGACAATAATTTTGACATAATTTTCAGTATTTTCTAACCAAATTAGTTTAGATTCAAAACACGTGCTGGCTGTTTGCCCCATCAATTTTATTTATATTTGCCCTTAAATAACGTTTTCATAAGGGAACGGGGAACCCCTTTTTTAAAAACCCGCTAGTTTATGGTGTTGTCAGATAATAAACTGTTTGACAATACCCTTCATATACCATTTTGGTATTTTTGGTACATGAAATGTTCATTAATAAAACATAGTATACGCTCTCAGGGCACGGGGCCCTTCATTTATTGAGAACCCGTTTATTCAGAACCTTGGAAATCTTGACTATGGGCATTGACAGTTCAAGGAATAGCAGCATTATAATAAAATAATTTTTTCAGCTCCAAACCTTTCAATTAGGCTCAATCGTTTCGTGGTACGGAAAACATTACAGGGATGTGTGAAATTGATGATTGAAAATGGGATGATGAGCTGAAGCTCATATGCCCATTGTTCATAATCTTGATTGATTTGTTTCAATAATTCGATTCTTCATCTTGTTTAAGAGTGTTTCTCTCAACATAAGAGCGCTTATAGGTTGACAACCTGTTGCATAAACGCATGCACTTCCAAAATTATTCACGAAACAGTCCTGAGAAAACGCGAACAATTCTTTGTTCAAGCGCATGCTCCTGATGGTTTCGGACTGTTGATTCTGTGAACGCGAACAAGCCTATTATGACTTGACCAGTTGAAGGGTCTAGTGCTAAAAGGGTATGAGTACAAAATAATGTTTTCTGTGTGATGAGGTCTAAAGTTGATTGTTAATACATAATTCAGCAGATTTTGTACAATAACAGAAAGACTGGAATGAGCCGGAATAGAATGATGTTTGTGTATGTTTTTACACTAGGACCTGCAGATATGATATGATTATGAAAACATCGGAAATATCCATGGAATCACATATCGCAAGTGAATCACACCAAACCTTCAGTGGGAAAAGTCTCCAAGTGTTTGAATTATTATTTGTCACTTGCAGCTTAGGAAGAAAGACGTTCTATTTGGCTATAGGCTATAGGAAGACCTTTTGAATGACAATTCAACCTCATAATAATCATGATATGCTCGAGACATTTTGAAGAAATTGATTTCAATCATACGATTAGTAGAACAGGGAAAAATGATTTGATGCCGTGTCAATATATTATAATAACAAAATTTAACATCAGGTTTCCATTAGTTGAATCAAATCTCAAGTTCTTATTTTTTCATGGGAACCTTCATTGAGTGAATTTTTAGCATTTTTGGAATTGTGTACTTATTTCAGCAATAAATTAGGAGTAGAAATTGCAAGAAATTGATGTTTTTGTCCACATTTTAATGAAAAACGCTTTCTGAATTAGATATCAGAATTCATGTTTTTCCTCATAGTGTCAGTGTTCTTGTTTTTATTATATATAGAATATGTTAATTTAAATCACTTGATTTGAAGAAAAATGTCAGCTGATTCAATCATGAATTATATCGGCTGATTTAAATAATTTCAAATGTAATGTTAATTTATCTCTCTAGATGCGAATATGTGAAAGTTACTGGTCAAAGCAATCAATTGACCATTTTTGAAGTCAAATAGTTCTCAAATTAATAGATATCCTACAAAAAATAACTTGTATAAGAGTTATTTCCGATAATGGAATTAGTCCACGTAGAAAATTCACTTGTGCTGACAATCCCGTACAAATAACTCATATCAAATAACCATGTTTCAAGTCCGTTCCTAACAAAGCGTTATTGCGCATGTGCCTCATTACGCTCTAATTCACTTGCAAAAGCGCTTTCGTGAACTCAATATCCATTCTATTCTGGGTTATAGCTTTGTGAATCTGCCATGAAATCACAAACTTGTCCGCCATCTTGGAGGCATCATTTTGAATATTTCTAGGACATTGTAGTTCATGTCACGGTGCTTGACGTGTACGTGAAAATAATTGATGCGAATTAATTTCCATACCTCTATCTTCCCCTTTTTTCATGATATTATCGACTTATTGACATCGACATCTGTTATGAGAAAATCGGACTCATACTATAAGGGTGAAATTTCGAGTGACTAACATAAGTGTCATAAAAAAATGTTTCATGTATTTGTATTTATGATGAAGCTAAAAAGGATTCGAAGATGTATTACCAATTGAAATGGGCCTTTGGCCAAAAATTTTTATGTAGTTGCAATCAAATTTTGTTGAGAAACCTGTGAGTTGGAAAAAAAGCATGTCTGCGTGCCACTTTTCATTAAAAAATCTGAAAAAGCATCGCCAATGATATACAGTGTAACTCGAAAATGAATTGTTATAATATATCTATTCACTCGTTTGGAAGCGCAATAGTTATGGCATCCTAATTCAACAATGGAGGATACAATATCAAATACTTGAGATGAGCTTTAAAGATTCTTGAATCTCAAAGTTGAAGTTATATATGAAATGGCATGTTCATGTAGATGTAGAAACGGTACAAATATTCATTATTTTCTCAAATTCTTCTTTGAATTATAGGTTAAATCGCTTGACTCTCAGTGCAAAACTTGGCTGGAAAAATTCATTGAAACAGACAACAAACTCCAGAGCCTCACCCAACATTCAGAAGAGTATGAAATAAAGTACAAAAGTCTGCAAGCCCACTGTTCTGAATTAGAAGCGTTACTTGAGGAACTAAGACCAACAAATCATAATGAAAGCTTCATTGAAGAAAGTTTCCAGAGTGTGAATATCAATCGCAGGTCAAAAAATTTTGAACCACTTTTATCCTGCGAAGATCTTGCCCATTCAGTTGTAGATGTACAGTTGAAAGATATGCAGAAAGAAAATGAAAATCTCAGGTTATCATTGGAAGAAGTGAATAAGGGCTCCAGGAAGTTGGAAGGGATTATTGAGAAGCTTACTGTTGAAAAAAACGATATATTAGACGTAAAAAATAAATTCGAAGACGAACTGAAAATGACAACTGAAAAACTCAATCAACTTACTTTATTATATGAAAAAGTAATGAATAACTATTATAATGAAACGAAGAAATATGAGTGTCTGGTTGTAGAAAAGGCACAAATTTCTGCACAATATAATAATTGTACTGCTCAACTGAGTGGTTTGAAGGATGATAATGAAAATCTCAAAATATCAGTAGATGAGATGGAATACAGCTCCAGGCAGTTGAAAGAAATGATCGAGAAACTCACTGTTGAAAGAAATAATACATGTGAGGAATTTAAATTGGCGTCTGAAAAAGTGCAACAACTTTCCATACAAAATGAGGATTTGCTAATAAAGTATCAAGATGGAGTTGAAGAATATGAAAGATGTGTTGCCCAACTAAATAGTATGCAAATAGATAATAAGAATATTGAGGCATCTTTGAAGAATATTGAAAATATCCAGATACAGTCGGAAGAAGCAATCAAGAACCTTACTGCTGAAAAAAACAACATACTAAAAGACAAAAATAAAGTTGAAGAGGAACTGAAAGCATCAACTGAAAGAGTCGAACAAATGTCGGTAGATCATGGTAGATTACAGAGCGAATATGAAGATGAAATGAAGAAAGTTGTTCATCTGGAAAAAGAAAAGTTGAAAATTTCTGAGGAATATGATAACTGTTTTGTCCAACTAAAAGATATGCAGAAAAATAATGAAAAGCTAAGAACATCTTTGGAAGATATGGATAAGAACTCAAAGCAGTTAAAAGAAATCAATGAGAATCTTATTGATGAAAGAAACAATTTACTAGCAGACAAACATATACTTGACGAGGAATTGATCATGACATCTGGAAAACTCCAACAGCTTTATACTAATAATGATGAATTAACGACAAAATATGAAGATTCAATGAAGAAATGTGAGTCTATGGTTGAAGAAAAACTACGAGTTTCCGAAAAATATGAAACTTGTGTTACCCAATTGACAGATGTACAGAAAGTCAATGAAAATCTCAGAGCATCTCTGGAAGAATTGAATAACAGCTCCAGGCAGTTAACAAAAATTATCAAGGAACTCACTGCCGAGAAAACAATTATGTTAGAAGACAAAAACAAAGTTGATGATGAACTGAGAATTATAACAGACAAACTTGACCGACTCTCTGTAGATAACGATAAATTGCTGATTGAATATCAAGATGCGGTGAAGAAATATGAGTTTCTTCTTCAAGAAAATGCCCAAGTCTCTGATGAATATAGTAGATCTGTTGCCTGTCTGAAAGATATGCAGAAGGACAATGAAAACCTCAAGAATTCTTTGCAAGAGATTGATTATAACTTTCGACAGTTGAAAGAAAGTAACGAAAAACTTATCAAAGAAAGAAATAGTATACTAGAAGACAAACATATACTTGACGAAAAACTGAAAATAACTAGTGCTAAGTTTCAAGAACTCTCTATAAATAGTGAGAAATTACAGAGCAAATGCCAAGATGGAGTGAGTAAATATGATTCTTTGTTTAGAGAAAAAACAAAGCTTTCTGACGATTATGATAGATGTCTTGCCAATCTGAAAGATACACAGGGAGAAAATAAGAACCTCAAGGCATATTTGAATGACATGGATAATAGCTCCAGAATGTTGAAAGAAAGTAACGAAAAACTTTCTGTTGAATTAAATAGAATGCTAGCAGTCAAAAATGAACTTGAACGGGAACTTGAAATGGCAAATGAAAAACTTCAACAACTGTCCATAGATAATGAGAAATTAGTAATTCATTGTCAGGATGAAGCTATGAAAAACGAGGCCCTGGTTCGTGAAAAATCACAAATTTCTGATAAATATGATATTTCTGTTGACAGTCTGAAAGATATGCAGGCAGAGAATGGAAACCTCAAGGCATGTTTGAATGATATGGGTGATCGTTACAGACTACTTGATGGTGAATTCAAAATGACAAGTGAAAAGCTTCAACAACTCTCTATAGATAATGGGAAGTTAAAGACTGAATATCAAAATCAAGTCACGAAATATGAATATATGGTAAAAGAAAAGACATTACTTTCCGAACAATATGATCATTGTGTTGTTCAACTGGAGGATATGAAGAAGAATAGTGAAGAGTTGAAAATATCTTTAGAAGATATGGAGAACAGGTCCAAACAGCTAATGGAAATTATTGAAAAAGACACTGTTGCAAAAAACAGTATCTCAGAAGAAAACCATAAACTTCATGAAGAACTAAAAATCACAACTGAAGAACTACAACAACTCAAAATAGTTTATGATACTTTGCTGGATAAATATAAAACACTCTCTATAGATAATAAGAAATTACTGACTAATTATCAAAATCAAGTCATGAAATATGATTCTATGGTTGAAGAAAGGGCACTACTTTCTCAACGATTCGATGATTGTGTTATCCAACTGGAAGATATGCATAAAAATAATGAAGAGTTGAAGTCATCTTTGGATGACAAGGATATCTACTCCAGACAGTTGAAGGAAATTATCGATAAAGAGACTGTTGTGAGAAACAATATATCTGAAGAAAATCATAAACTTCATGAAGAAATTAAAATCACAATTGACAAACTTAGACAACTCAAAGTTGAATATGATGCTTTACTAGATAAATATAACGAACTTTCCGAACTCCATGATGTAGAACTTAACAGGAATCAAATACTTACTCAAGAAAAAGCAGATATATATAAGTTATTAGAATATGAGAAATCATCAAAACTTGAAGTTTCTGAAGAACTTACTAAAGTTGAAGAGGATGTAGCAATAGCTACGTCTAAGATAGCATCATTAACTCAGAATGTGGACATTGTTACCCTAGAAAAGAAAAAGACCATCGATGAGTTGCAGAATTTGAGAGAATTATTAACTAATATATCCTCGGAGAAATCAGACTTGGCGGATCAGCTTTCTAGTGTAACTCATGAAAATGAGGAATTATCTAGAAAAATTGATAATATTGAAGAAGAAAATATAGAACTATCGGCAAAATTAGATAATTGTAGGCAGGAAAATGCCAACATATTAGATTCTTTGAATAAAGTCAGTTCTGAGAAATACGAGTTTATGAAAAAATTGAAGATAGTTGAACTAGAACTAGAAACAGTAATTGGGGAAAAAACTCAAATTGATGAAAAGAAAAAGACAATAGAGCAAGACTACGACAGTATGAAATTGGCACTAGAAAGAGTAGAGTCAGAGAAATATCATTATTTTGAAGAAAATCAAAAGTTTCACGAACAATTGAATTTAAACTCATATCAAATGAAAGAATTACAAGATAGGTTCAACAACATCCTTGCAGATAATGAGAAAGTAACTGACAAGTTGAATTACTATATCAAAGAGAAAAATGAACTTTCTGATAGCTTATCTGAATGTCTTTTGGTTAAAGAAAATTTAACAGAAAAATTGAATACCGTTATTCAAGAAAAACTAGAATTATCTAAGGTCTTGAATGATATTAAACTCGAGAAATTGAGTTTCTCACAAAAATTAGATGCAGTAATACTAGAATTGGAAAAATCCAATCTATTAATATGTAGTCTAACTAAGGAACGAGAAAATCTAGCTCAAGAGAAAACGGATATTGAAGACAGACTTGACAAAACTGTTTCAGAAAAAGAAAATCTTGTATTGGAAAATAGTAAATTATTTAATGAGTTCAATGAAATATCTAATAATATGAAATGTTTGGAATCTGAAAAAAATGATCTGTATGAAAAATTAGAACAGGTTGTTAGAGAGAAGGATGGTATTCTTGATCATTTGGATAATAAAATCAGAGAGTTGGAACTTAGCAAACAGGAGCTATCAGATCGACTAAGTGAAACTTCTGTGGAAAACGAAGATATAAAAATAAAATTGAGATCTTTTGAATCCAAGGTGGTCATGTTAGAATTGGAAAATAACGAGCTTCATGAAGAAAAGTCTAAGATTTCTAAGGAGTTGGGCAACCTCAGTACTAAATTCGAAGATCTGATAAAGGATAAAAGGCTTATTGATAAGGAACTATCAAAACTTTTCTCTCAACTAGAAAATATCATGATTGAAAAAAATAAATCATCAGCAGATTTAGTGAACACTAAAAACGAGAGCTTGTCAATTATTGAACAGTTAGCAGATTTATCATGCAAGTATCAAAATATTCAATTTGAGAATGAAAAATTGGAAGAGGAGTTGAAAGTTTCGGCAGTTGAGGTTGAAGAAAAGACACATGAATTGGAAATTGCCAATGAAAAAGTTGAAACACTTGAAGTTCAGAATATCCAAATCATGGAACAGCTAAATTGCGTTTTCAATATCATGGAAAGTGCAAGTGAAAAATTGAACAATTTGTTTGAAAAAATATGCGAGGACGAAAGCTCATCTGAAATTTGTGACAGAACTGGAGAAGAATCTGAAAAATATGATCGCTCTGTTAGATTCAGTAAAATTTCAGAAAATTTGAAGAGCCTATTTAAGAATATTGAAAATCTACTTAGTAAACTTTTAAAAGACAATGAACTCGTTTCAAAGAATTTGCAAATGTATTGTGAATCCAACAAACATCTAACAGCTGAACTTGATGAGAAAAATGAGAGCATAAAGAATATCAATTGTGAGATTAAAAACGTCCTTGAAAACTATGAAAAGGTCAAAAAGGAAAATTATGATTTGTCACAGGATGTAGTTGACCTTAAACTGAATATACAGAAGCTAACAATTGAAAATAATGGAATATCGGAAAGTCTCAAGAAAGTAACTGAAGAAAAGAATGTTATTTCAAATTTCTTAGATTTGAATAACAATGAACTTCAAAAGATTATACAAGAGAGGGAGGATATACTAGGAGCACTTGAAATGAGCAATAAAGAAGTTGAAAATATCTCACAGCAGAGGATTGATCTTGAGTCAAAAAATTCAGAACTTGTTCTGATAGTACATGCCAAAAGCTCTGAGATGGAAACAATATCAGAAGAGAATAGTAAATTACTGCAACATGTTGCTGCTTTAAGAAAAAACATTGAGGATATTACAAATGAACTGGATGCGGTTGTTAAAGAGAATACTAAACTCCTAGAGCAGTTAGAAAAAGTTTCTCAAGTTAAGGCGGATTTTTCAGAAGAATTAGACAAGGTTTCCCAGGAAAAAGCTGATTTGTCTGATAAGCTGCAGAGTTTGAAGAAGAAACAGTTTGAAAATTCAGAATATACAAAAGATTTATTAGCTAAAAATGAACTTTTGACTGAAGAGAATACTCAGCTACTCGGCCAAATAACGATTGTCTCAAACGACTTGGAAGAAAAAACTAAAAATTACCATCTGCTCGAACTATCTTGTAAACAACTCAAGAAGCTATCTGACGAAAAATCTGATATTTTGGAAAAAGTATCGGAGGAGAATAAAGGTATCTTTGATATTGTTGACAGACTCTCTCAGGAGAAATTGGAAATGTCAGACACTCTAAACCAACTATCTGAAGAAAAAATGAACATGACGAAAACCCTAAATAAATTGACTGAAGAACTTGAAACTTTATCTGAAGAAAAACTGAAACTATCGGAATCTTTAGAAATGAGCCACAAAGAATTGCAGAAAGTGAAGAGAGAAAGAAATGAAATATTGGAAAGTCAAACGACAATCATGAAAGAAACGGAAAATAATATTCTCCTAGCCCATCAAAGTGCAGTTGAGGTAAAACAAGAACTACTCAAGAGAATAGAAATGGCTGAAAAAGATAAGGAGAAACAGAGGAACCATTTTGACGCAGAATTGAAGAAAGTTCGTGAAGCATATGCCAATGTAGTGTCCACAAATTCCAAGTTAGAGATGGAGACTGTTAATCTCAGAAAAAAAATTGAAGAGCGGAATTCCCAGCTGAATGAATTTTCTCAAGTGAAGGAGGCATATGAGAAACTTCTTGAAGAAAATAGCAAACTGATGACAGAGGTAGATACAGTCAAATATAAGAGGGCCAGGGACCGAGAAGAATTCGTTAATTTACTTAGAAAAGAACGAGAAGATGCAGATGCTAGAGAGAGTAAGAGAATTCGAGAGGTGCGAAACGAGTATGAAGACAAAGTTCAGAAGATGAAAAATAAAATGGTGAGTTTTTCAACTTAAAGATAAGTTTCTTACTAATTATTCATCTTTCTAGCTAAATTTGTATAGAGAAGAAGTCAATAAGGAAATACAAAAGGTCAAGGTTGGACAATCTGAAACGGTAAGTAATTTTTTTTCGATCACTTCTGTGGCCACCATAAAGTTTGTTTTCTGGAAGACTATTAAAACAAGAATGATCTAATATCTATTGCTCCACACTCAAACAGGTATTGAATATAACTGTGTCACTTCTTCTATCTGATTCACATTCTTCAAGGATTACTTTAAAAAAAAAAACAATGCCAATAAAATGAGACCCTGTGGGACCGTTGGTAAAAATAAATGTTTGAAAGCGGCAGATCATTTTGATCGCTTTATTTGACAACAAATAAAAGTATCCTAGGTTTGCATGGTCCCTCGAAGTGAGCTCACGTAAGGAGATCGAAACAACCATGGAATGTTCGGACTGTATTCGGTTTTTTGCTTCTTTCTCGGAAACTATGGTTTTCATAACGTGTCAAAAAATGAAGAACATAAAATTCTGTGTTGAATGAATACCCAATACTCTAGATTCGGTTCAGTAATATGGTCAAACCATGCCAACATATCTACTAATGCGAATTTCAAACGTTTGAAACATGGAATCATCTATTCTAACTGAAAGAATTCATTCTATGAAAGTTGTACAGCTTCAAATTCTACTTTCAGCGAATCAAGGATTTTGAATCCTTCAAAAAATATATGGAAAAATTTTAAATTTTCGATTTTTTGTCAAACGCTCAACATTACACGATAAAAGTACCTGCCAGTTGTCAGAGCCTATGCATCTCTATACCTTTCCAACTTCGATTTCGGAATCTATAAGTTATATTTCGGAAAAAGTAATCTCGATTTCAGAATTGGTTAGTTCGATTTCAGAAATGGTAAAGTCAATTTCAGAATCGGTAAGATGAATTTCAGTAAAAGTCCATTCAATTTCAGAAATGGTGAGTTGTATTTAAGAATTGGTAGGTACAATTTCAGAAAATAAAACCCTATATTTGTTTGAAATGTTTTTAATTGTAAAAGAGTCAATTGATGTTCGAATAAGTCGAGCTCCCCTCTCCGAAATCGTATGCAAATGTCGGGAAACTGATTAATGGGTCCGAATTCATTGTTTCGCCAAAGGGCATACATTCTTAGATCATCGACTATAACACTGAAAAATTGCCACTTCCGGTTCGTATGCCGCCCTTGAGTGACCTAGGCGTATGCAAACCGGCAAGCGCCCCAATTTTCGTGAGATAAGATCATTGCACTTCATTGCCGAGCTTCTTCTTAAACAAAGTTTTGAACTTTTTTCCAACCGATAGGTGAGGTCAGGGCCGGGGCAAGGAATGGGTTGCGACTCTCCGAGGCACTCTTTCCTGTTAACTTGGACTAAGTGAGTGGGTCCCTTAAATGGCATACCGACTTAGAACATCGATAAACCCTGTGTCGCTGGCCAACAGTCTATTACTGCTTTATCATAGGAGTGCTGTGAAATATACAGGGTGTTGCGAAATTCGACCGACAACGCCTCACAGGTGATAGCTCTCGTGATACAATGAAGAATGAGTCAGGAACATAAGGCCGTAATTTGCTTTGTTCTTGAGATACAGGGTGTTGAAGTTGAATGATTGAAATCGTTTTTTCGCAATAACTCAAGAACGGCTGAATAATTCCTATTCAAATTCGATTCATGAATTATACTTCAGTATTCTCAATTCCTGATGGAAAGATATCTCAGACCATTTTTCCATTGGCATAGTTAGAGGGTATAATTGAATTATTCTGCAAAAATACATGAGTGGCGATGGAAATTTGTGAAATTCCATGTTCGAATATTGAAAATTAATTAATTCCAAAGATAAAAGGTCCTCTTGATGGAAATCAATAAAATACACCATTTTCGAGAAAAAAAGGAAAACGTTACTTGACGCAACCTTCCATCAAACCACATTATCTAACGATTTTGAAACGTGATCATGTTTTGACATAATCTGTCATTGCAGAAAGATTGTAACAATTCGAATTGAATTTAGTTTTTCGGCTTGTTATGAATTTTTCTAACAGTGAAATGACTGATATGTTGATATTGTTACGTTATTCGGGTGCAGAAGCGAACACGACACTATTTATTTTCGAACTGATTTATTTGAACTAAAGAAACACTAATTTATATCGAACTTATAGTAAGACAGGAGTACAACGATCATCCTGTAACACGCATCCCAGATTGTTCTCCAACCTCCCAAAGATTCCTACATACACCAGCATATTTCCGAACACTCAATATATGCCGCAGTGACAAATAACGTGACAGAAGATTCTGGAATGTTGTTGTCGGTCGAAGTTCGCAACACCCTGTAGATATCAGTATGGTGATGAATTATAATCGCGTAAATTTGCATAGCAATGCTATAGTATTTTTCTTTTTCTAATAATGTTTCATAGACTTTCATCAGTTCACTTCTACGTTTTTGGAATTATTGTTAAATTGATGTTGATATTGGTATAAGTATTATCTTTGGGAAAAATGTTTATTGAAATGAGATTCTATTATACAAATATTTTGTATCATTTAAAACTTCTTATTTCAGGATGGCCTCCACGAAATTGTTAAAGATCTCAGAAGCGAACTTTTTGAGGCAGAACAGAAGATCCACATGCTGGAAACTGAACGAGACATGATGAGGATAAGGGAGTCCACATCACAAAGAAACGTTCATTCATCCAGGGAATCCCTGCAATCCCTGAGGGGAAAGGAAAAGCCACGAGACTCAGTGCGGAGCAGTATAACCTCTCTGCGGTCTACAGACATCAGAAGCAGACCTAATTCTGAACAGATTATACGGAAAGTAAAGAGCGTTTCGACAATGCAGCCAACTCATAGAGAGAAAGGAAATGTTATCAACGACAGAAAAACCACGATGTTACCTCCACCAAATGTTACAGAGATTGAAGAAACAATTACTTTCTCTAGAAGAACATCTATCAATGGCATTCCGACTAACATCACTCCCAGTATGGAAATGGAAGATGAAGACGACCACTTCAATAACAAATATCTGGCTGATTTGAAAGCTGGTAGATGCATTATGGGTACGACAGGTAATGATGGAGCCGGTAGATTGTCCGAGCTGGCTTGGAGAAATTCCTTGGTTCCTCCGCATTTGAAGTCATCATATCCTGCAGAAACTCAATTTGTTAGTCCTACGCACTTCAAGGAGGATGATTTAAAGGTAACATTTGCAAATGACTGATAATTTAGGAACATTTTGTAACACTTCGGTTTATCCACAACTTATCAAGTTATCACACAAATATTCAATATCTGTATAGTACCTATTCTGAACTGATCTTCATGCTCATGGAGTAATGTTTCGCAATATATGCAGGGTGGTCAACTTGAGACAGCCATTTATCTTAAAATTCATACATAAAAAAATGAATATGTAACTTTTGTTTCATACATAATACTATCCAACTTGAGGTTGATTATTTACTTTACACTTTATAAAATACCTTTATTTATCCAAGAAGATCATACAATTATCATATAGGACAAGTCTCAAAAGTTCTTAACAATTTTTATTATCACCTAAACTAATGACCATTCATCCATACTCATATGTTCATACTTACATGCGCTCATCACCATTCACACAAATCATCTACCGATACTAAAAAGAGTACTGAAGGTACTCTTCAACGGAATAAAAGGCATTTGCTAGCAATATTGATCTGATAACAGACATAAACTTTTTCTAACTAGTCATATTTTTTATTCCATTGCTCAATTTGTTATATAAGACTGAGCCTATATAATAAGGATTTGATTTGTACAATTCTAATCTATAGATATCATATTGTGAATTATGCCCATACCGTGTTCAAAATCGAGATTTTTCAACTTTAACATTTTTTTGTGTCGAAACTATTCATTATTGGTCAAAACGGCTCTCATGTCCCGATCTCAACTTGTGATTTACTATCTACTGACATTTATTTGAAACAAATACAGGGTGGTTCAAGATTCAGAATTCTGATCACCCTGTATCTGTTCCAGTTAAATGTCAGTAGATAGTAAATCACAAGTTGAGATAGGAACATGAGAGCCGTTTCGACCAATAATGAATAGTTTCGACACAAAAAAATGTCAAAGTTGAAAAATCTCGATTTTGAACACTTTATATCCCTGGAACCATTACAGCTAGAGCCCAAGTGTGATGCATTGATGAAATCAGCTCTTCGGGGAGAATCTAAAAATGCAATGAAATACAAGGTGTTCCATTTGAAATAACAAAGTTGTTGCTTCTTTTCGTTAGCAGCGGCAACGCCGCAGGGCTGAAAATATTGTAGGACGATGTCCCCCTCGAAAACGGTTTTGGCGACCTACAGAGCCTCTGTTTCGTTTTCAAAGGCCCACTCTGTATAAAGTATAATTAATTTTCTAGTAGGAATGACATGAATGATCAGACAGTAATAAGATCATTCATGAAGTATTATCGACTGTTGTATAATTGAAATTACAAATAGTGAACAAAACTTACATATCATTAAGATATGGTGGTGGCCAGGTAGCCGTGCGGACAGAGTGTCTATATTCTAATTCGCATTCGCTTGCCGGTCGTGGGTTCGATCCCCGTCGACTGCAGAAATTTTTCTGATGGCCCAAGAAAGTGTTTGGGATCACACGTTAAAAGGTAAGGCCCCCGTCATTCCTTGCTCGCACAAGACTTTCGAAGACTTTTGAGGGTTGCTCGTAAGGGGGCAACCGAATGACGGATAGAACAAATTTTAGAACAAATATCTCAAAATAACAGTCATATTATAGTGAACAAGAAGGGGAAAAATAAAAACAGTGAAAAAAAAAGGAAATTCATAATCTTTCACCTTTGATCATTCCTTTGCATATAAATATATTTCTTCACTTTATTTTTGATTTGCATAATATATGGGCTGTTAGTGATATCATTGAATTTCGAAATCGCCTCATGTGTAAACTTTTTTTGTCTAAGTTTAGAATTTGCAGCTTCAAGGTGAAACAAGTTATATTGTCTAGTGTGATGATCATGAATTTCGGAATTCCTGATTAATATAAAATTTGATTTAAGCTTTTTGTTGATGATATAATAGGAAATTTTTAGATTATTGATTAAAAAAAGTGCTCTTCCAAAGAAAATGTGTTTGTTTCCTTATACAGTTGATTCGTTGGAGTATCATATGGAAGACGATACAATACTTTCAATGCCTTTTTATATAGAACAGAAATTTTGTTGAAACTATTTTTGGAACAAGATCCCCAAATATTTATGAGATAGTTAATTCGACTGAGTATATTATGTGAATAGAGAATAATATTTGATGTATATGTACTAAGTTTAAGACATCTTCTCAAAGCACCAATAATGGGAGATACTTTTCCTATGAGGATGTCAATATGCTTTCCCCATGTTAATTTCTCATCAATCCAAATACCAAGGTATTTGGTATGGGCAGTTTGTTTCAAACGTTCATTTTTTATTCTAATGTTCAGATCAATATTTTGTTTCAATCTTTTCAATGCAAACGAGTTACTTGCGCACTTTTTACCTACTGCTGACACATGTGATTTCCAATCTAGAGATAAATCTAGGTGAATGCCTTAAAGTTTGAATGACGTGAATTGTTCAATTGATTTACCAATGTATTTCAGAAGTTGGCTATCATTATAACGGTTTGCAAGGGGATAAAATTGCATGAAGAATGTTTTTTCCTGGTTGAAGGTCAGTTTTTTATTCTGAAAGTAGTGAATCACTTTATCAAAATTAGTTTTGATTACTCCAAGGGCTTCTATTTGGGTTTCACCACTGGACAAGATAGTTAAATCGTCTGCGAAGGCAGTGAAAAAAGTACTCAAGCTGCTATCAATATCATTAATATAAAAGATGAATAAAAGAGGATCCAAGGCACTACCTTGTGGAACACCAATATCCACAACTAATTCATCTGATCTTTCTCCTGAACATTCAACAAATTGCTTCCTTTCGCTGAGATAAGATCTCAAAACTTGATTGCTTCGACCGCGAATACCATAAGCTTCTATAGAAGATAAAAGAATTTCGTGGTCGACACAATCAAATGCTAAAACATATGCTGCGAAATATTTCCTATCACAACACGAAAACTATTATTTTTATGTTACTTTTTGTAATTCAATTCAGATTGCATCATAATATGAAGCCTTTTTTCTCATATTGGTTTTGCTTGTGTAAATGAAGAGTAGTCAAATTTTAATTGGATATGAAAATATTTCAGGTGATCAAAGTTGACCTCGCAATAACCTTGAAAACGTTCCCAAGGTCAGAAAAATATATCAACATTTTGCTCTGCTTCTGAATTGAAACATCACCCTTTTCTTGTGTAAAATGGATGGTTTTTAAGTTATCGGGTTCTTGGGTATTTAGCTGTCTCAGTTGAACGGACCCTCCTGTATGTACTTTATTTCCTCTCCTACCTCTAAGCAGAGGTGAATAGATTATACAGGGTGTCTCTCAAAGGTTGACAAAACACATAATCATAGGGCCAACATATGCAGATCTAGTTCAATAGTTGATAGTTTCTGAAATATAAGGATTCATGTTTTTTTAAACTTTTTTGCAAATGTTTATCTTAATAATAGCATAATTTGAACGAAATTTGGCACGTAGGTCATTCAGGATGAGGAACCCAGATCTGGAACACATTACAGAGGCGCCACCAACAGCACTTCGTCTGATTTGTTTTATGCTCAGGTATATTGACTTTCAAGTTGAAATTTCTTATGCTTCAACATATTTTGACAGCAATAGGCAACTCAGTTACTATCGCCACTAGCTGCGTTTTCAGAGGTAATTGAATTTGAATGTTTATTGACTATGGAACCACGCGAATTATGCTGTTATCGGAAAATATAAATTTTCCCACTGCGGTAAATTGGGTTAGTTCCTCATATTTCAGCATTAGTATTCTATGTTAGCGTTCTGTTCAGATATTTTAGAGGTACCCTGTATAATATACTCAATTCTATCATTCCCAAATACTGTCTGTAGGTTAATCGAGGAGGTGGTACTTTCATTATTCAAAATTTTTTTTTGGGTTTTTCTCTCCTCGTTTCTATAAAATAAAAATATGAATATTATTTCAATATACGTGTAGTAAGGACAAATCAGATGATTTGCCCCAAAATGTCACTGCGTTTAAAGAATTTTCCTATCAGAGAGCATAAAAAAAATTCACTAGCTTGTCAGTGACAATTTGTATTGAAAAAAGTTTGGAGAAGAGAAATAAAGTTTCAAGACAGATACGACTTTGTTATTAAAATTACCATTTTTTATGTTGAAAACGGCAGAAGATTCGGTCTCAAAACGTCCAAAGATAAGTGAAAATTTGATATTTTTTCTATATACCTTTATTTCTCTTCTCCAAACTTTTTTCAATTCAAATTGTCACTGACAAGCTAGTGAATTTTTCTTTTAGGCTCTCTGATAGGAAAATTCTTTGAATGCAGTGACAATTTGGGGCAAATCATCTGATTTGTCCTTACTACACGTATATTGAAATAATATTCATATTTTTATTTTATAGAAACGAGGAGAGTGAATCCCAAAAAAATTTTGAATGATGAGCATATTCCCAGCTAATTTTTTACATCATGCAACAAACCAAGCAAGTGGACCACTCAATTTGAATTTGGTGTGCAAAATTTCGTTATATCTCATAATCTCTTTCAGTCTGGAAATGTTGAATTGGATGACAGCCTCTGCAAATTATTGCCAGGAGAAAAGCCCCGCCAGAAGAAGGACTTTGGAACCACCACCTACAAAAAACCTGGACCGCCCACTCCCAGCAAAAACGGAGGGCGACTGTCCTTGCAGGGTAACGAGATCCTACCTTTGCGAGAACACAATGACAGATCCCCGAAAAAAAGCATCACCCCCAGTCGACTCAAGGCGCTATTCATGGGCCGCACTAATTCCAGGGAAAACTCTGAGGTACACTGTGATTGCCTTGCACATGTTATTGAATGCTGTAGGCTTGTGGCTGGAAATCAGCACCCTCTTTGCTGTAGTGCTTGTTACAAAGATGCCTTTCGAAAGGCAATTATCAATTTAGAAACCTTTCCTGAGCATTATGTTAACAGTATGCACCAAGCTAGCAACGGTTGCTGTTTCAAGAATCATTTTCTAGGTACAATATGGGAGTGTGCTAAAAATCTTTCATTCATGATGCTGTTCTCTATTATGGCTGTTAGATTGTGTTTGCGCGTTATTAAGTTGAATTGACTTCAAACACTGTCATTTCTTCCTTTTGGTAAGCCTACTCAAATATGAAATTGCGTGTATTGTTCGGTTCTTTGTTACTTTCTCTTCTTTTGATTCACTTTATGACACTTCTTCATGCACATCTATACATTAGTAACATGTAACCACATATGCCCCCTCATAGAATAAGGTGGTGCAACATATCGCTGGTTAAGAAGAAGACTGTCACAACTCGAAAAATATGAAAAACCTATTTTTCATATAAAATGATTGCAAATGAGGTATATTTTTATGTGTAAAAGAGTCACACCTTGAATTTGATTCGTCTCTCCTAGATGGCGCTGGCGTCAAATGGTACAAGTCGGATTCATATATTTGTTGAACAGTGTCACAAACTCAATTGAGTCATCTATTCAACAAGCGTAACTTCAACTTAGTCAATTATTTTATGGGAAATATCGTCCCAAGTCAAAAAGTGACAGTCTTTCGCAGAGAAAATACATTTTTTTCCATGTTATTTCTTCAATTGTGCCCATCTTCCCTGAAATACTTCATTAATATTTTTTTTTTTGTTGGAAAGTTCGAATTTCAATATAGTTGTGTCACTTTTTCACAAAATTATCGATGATTAGAGCTCTACATTTTAATCAAGTAACCCGTTACAAAAAATCTGCTCCTATCTATGCACCCGATCAGTACATAACCCTCATCAGGCAAGCGAAAAAGATCCGTACAGAGTTTTGTAGTTAACTCATGAAGATATCATGATTTCAAGGATCTCTCCGAACGTTTAGGTGTAAAAACTGGGTATGAGGATCAAAAAGGAGAACCTCTGAAAATTTCGGATGTTGAAGTGTTGAAGGTTGAAAAAGCGCATCCTGAATATTTTTCCTACAAAATTTCATACGAGGAAAAACAATTTTCAACTTTCATGGTCCTGAATCCTAGAAGGAAATCAAGTAATGCAGTGCCATCATTGAAGAAGGCCTATAATAAACCAGTAGGAATAAGTGATGCTGAAAAAAAAGGGAATAATGGCACTAATCCAAAAAAACTCCGTTCCTAGTTTTTATGGTCAGTTTTACAACAACTTATAAATTTATATCCAGTTGTAAGGGCAGATAGGTATTATAAGTCTCCACATGGAAACTGTTTCATGAACTTACTAGAGCTACTCATAAGGTAATGTTTCGTTTTTGATTCATTTTATAAACAATCGTTGAGGTTATTTTGTTGTTTTCGTATTTCTTTCAAAATGTTTTTGTCATGGCAGATACGGTAGTATTAGCCTGTATAATACAACTACTTCATGCACCTATACTGATGCTGCATCGAGAAAAGAATTATTTAGTTCAAGCATTTTTTCATGTACCTGTGAAACCAAAGTTAGTTGAGTTTTTCTTGAATGTGATCATTTTGCTGTTATTAGTAAAAAAGCACTTGAAGAGAATTTTGGTTTTGTTCCATTTGTCCACCATCGGCTAACGTCTCCATGTTTTTCAACTCAAAAAATCAAATTTTTGGTAATTCTCTAATAATATAGAGACACATATTATATTTATCACCTATAGATTTTTTGGTCAAAACCGTCACAAATAATTTTTTTTTGGAAAAAATAATCAAAAATGAAATGATGACTATAAATACAGTTTTTCAATGGTGAAAAGAATCTTATGACGCCAAAATCGATAATACTTACTAAGTCGAATACCTTCATTATTGCCTTACAAAATTGAACAAACCTTTGAACAGCGTTTTCTCAAGAAAATACTTTTTCGACTTGTGACGGTCTTCTTCTTAACCAGCGATATGTTATTCTGAACACTTCACATGTACTAATTTTCGATGCTTGAAGTATATATGATTCATAATGTGAAATTTTATAATTGACGTAAATACATTCTCATGAAATCAATGACGGCTAACATTTTCAGTCTCACCAGTTGGCTTTACTGAAACATGAGGTCAATGTCAAAGTCAAAAATCCCAAAATTTTGTTGGACAGCCCTAATAGTAGGAGATCAGGCTGCAGATTTCTACCGTCAACTGATAACGAAATGATATATGTCCCAAAGGAAAGTAAAAACATTTTAGTTCAACTAAAGGCATCTGTGCCAATCACTATCCTGAGCAAAATGATCAAAAATAGAGATGAGAATTATGCCATCCAATACCAATCTCAAAAACGTACCTGAGACACCTCTTAGTCTGAGCCAAACGCATGGCACAGCGAATTATTTGCTGCTATTATTCCGGACATACTCCCTTCATGTGATAACGAGCTGAAACAAAGAGCAAATGAAAGCGAATATCCAAACGTGCCGCGATTCAAACTGATCTAAGTTAGTAGCAGATCGTCAATATTTCTGTGAATATTCTGCATATTTTATGCTACCTCACAAGCATGACATGGGCAAAAAAATACAAAGAAGCAAATTTGTTGAGTTCCAGAAATGATGATAATAAATATTTCATCAGCATGATTTGAAAAATTCCTTTGTTGTTCTCTTTCAAGTATTGCTATCTTTGTCTTCAAGAGTTTCACGTAGAATTATGAAAATGTTAGAGTTCACAACGTCGAAAAAATCATGTTTTCATTCATTTTTCAGTAATAATCAGGAAAGACACTTCACCTTCTCTCAGCGGTGGGTGAACTTTCCTCAAAGTACTTAATGTTTGCATTGTGCGATGATGATGAATTGTGTTTAGTTCTACACTGGTCCATCGGATATTATCTTCAGAGGGGGCGAAATATTCTCGGAAGTATTGACGCTCTGCCACTAACTTATATCAGTTTTAAATCGCGGCACGTTTGGATATTCTCAAAGGCGACATCATTCCATCTCATTTGCTACTTGTTTCAACTCGTTATCACATAATAATAATAATAATAACATTTATTGATCCCAAGAAACATACAATGTTTATAGAGAGAAACAACAAAAAAAATAGAATAAAATCAAATATGCAATACAATGAAAGATAAACAGTTCAATCAGAATTAATTGATACAAGGGGAGAGTTAAATTGATAAAATATATTTCTTCAGTTCACACTTAAATTTTGTGACGAATCTAATAGATTTTATTCTGTTGGGTAGACTATTGTAAATATTTATTCCACAAAAATATGTTCAAATGTTCACTTTGTCTGGTGTGATGCTCATGGGTATCAGAATTGATATTGAAAGTAAGATTCGAGTGCTTTTTCTTATTTTTAGTGAAATGAATGAAAATGCATACTTTCATTTTGAAGAGAGAGTCAATATCTAGTAGATCTCTTGGTTTGTATAGTCTAGATGTTGATTCCAGAAATGGTAGTTTATAAATACATTTTATGGCTTTATTTTGAAGAGATTTCAGAGGTTTCAAAACAGATTTTGCTGCAGTACCCCAGATCGATATCAGATACTGCAATTTAGAGTAAATCAAACTGAAATAAATTAATTTCAAGTAATTAAGAGGTATAAAAGATCTCAATTTGTATAATATACCAATAATGGGAGATATTTTTTTCCTGAGCAATTGAATATGTGATGACCAAGATAGAGTCTGGTCTATAGTTAAACCTAAGAGTTTGGAGTTTTTTGTAGGATTTATAGAAAAATTCCCGAATTTTAACGGATCTATTTGGTTATCAGGTATAACTCTTTTCGAGATGAACATAAAGAAGATTTATCGAAATTGAGTTTCAATTTATGATCTTGTAACCATAATGTTATTGAAGCGAGGTCTTGTTCCATTTGGTTTTTTATTTCTTGTATATTTTTTCCGTAATAAATGAGAGTTGTGTCATCGGCAAATAATTTTAAATTCCCTTGTAATTTCAGTCTTGAGATAGAATTTATATAAATTAGAAATAAAATAGGTCCGAGAATTGATCCATGGGGTACACCATAAGATATGTTTCTTATTGAAGAAAATGAATCTCCCATATACACAAACTGCTTTCTATCAACTAGATAATTTTCAAACCAAGAGTAAACTTTACCTCTTATCCCTATTTGAGTTAATTTCATGGCGGAATAACAGCTGTGCCGTGGATTTGGCTGAGACTGAGGGGTGGCACAGATAGGTGTTTGAAATCTACCATTCAATTGGTATCGGTTGGCATAATTCTAATCTTGTTATCAAATCGCGAAATCGAGTGCAAATTTCCGCACAGGAAAGTGCAATTTTCAATCATTTTGCTCACTATAGTGATTGGCACAGGTGCCGTTTGATAAAATACAATGTGTTTAGATGCTTTTGGCGCATATAGCATTTCGTTATCAGATGACGTCGAAATTTGCAGCCGGCTCTTGGACTATAAAGGCTGTGGTCTGTTTTATCAAAAATATTCGGAAACCATTATGTAGAATATTTGAATAAATAATTAAACTCATGTTATCAGACTCACGGTTTTAACTCTCAATGTGGTAATTTATGACCAATTCTTATCGTAGTAAGTGGCCGAATGACAAGTAAAGAAGAAGTATATTTATCAGCTCGACCAACTTTGACCCCACGTTTCAGTGGCGCGATGGGGTGACAATAAATAATGTTACCCCTCATTGTTCAAGTCAGTTTTATTCATCATCCTAAATCAAATGGAGAACTCATCCATATTCAATAGTCTCAAGAAAACAACATTATATTTACTACAAATAAAATTATTCATCAACAGACTCATGATTTAGTGATATATTTATTTATTTATTTATTGATTTAATAAAATAATTTTCTAATTATGTAAATTTTCATTTACTCAGTCATACATTTATAAACATGTATGTTTCATGGGAATAATAAAGAGTGTTATTATTATTATAAAGTTATTTAATTTTCCAGAATCAGTGTACCACTCCAAAGACTAATAATAAGCGAATGAGTTTATTCAGGAAGCAGAGATAGCTGCAACAACCTTTTCTTTGGGTAAGCCTTTTCTAAATAAATGATCACATTTTCGTTATCCTATTCTATATCCACAATCTCAAAATACACTATTCACTAATACCTATACAATATGTAATAAAAAATTAGATTGAATTCTGATTATTATGTTCCAAATCATCACACTTTATATATCAAAATGATGAAATGCTGTCCTACTAATATTTTACGAAATAACATACATTGGGTGAGGGGACTGATAATGAATTATTGGCATTCAATTACTCCACTATGTCATTAGGAACCTAGATTAATTTTTGCAATACTTCTCAAGCTTTTTTATGTAAATAATGAATCTATGCGTTGTTCGAAATTGTTGAATTTTAGTGGTCAGGAGGAACCCATGATATTATATTTCATTCTTGACTTTCTCGAGCAACCAACATGTCCAAATATTTCTCATTCTCCAAAACAAAATATCATGTAAATGTTGAAGACTTAGCAACATTGTGCTGCATGCTGAGAACTGATAAGACCACGCCCACAATTCGTGCGCCGTGTTGTCACGTTCACCAATTCAAATGTCCTCTAGTGTGAATTAATATAATTATTATTTACACAAATTCATTATAAGCAATAAGCCACAAATCATAAGGGAACATTTTGAGACAATTGCATTTTTATTGCTAATTAGGAATATTACCAATACTCAATTGAGAATCTATGAATTATTGAATAACTAATATTTCTGAAGTTCCCTGCCCCTACTTACGAAATCGTGGCGTCAGTTTTTACGCAAATTACTGTTGCATTATTGATGATTTTAGCACCTAAATATCGACCAAAACATTCTTAAAAAATATGAAATTTAAAGGTATTTGAGTGATGATTATATTTTAGAAATAAAAAAATAGTCCACTCGCTTATTATAGTGGAATATCTATCCACTGAATTCAATAAATCAATAGGATAGAAGTTTAGCCAGCGTCGAGAGGGAAAAATGTTTTCACTAGTCTTTCCTATTGATATCTTGGTCTTCAGGGTTCTTAACTGAAATAATGAAAATGTAACGTTGTCAACGCCAAAACTGAGAATATTCTCTAATCTTTATCTCGATACATTATTACTTTAAATAACAAAGGCAAATCTAGAGCAAAGGACACCGCACGTTTTATGGGGCTGAATTTTCGATATGTTATAGTCCAAGACATTCTGAACAAAATGTCCGAATACCAAACTGTTCTAATGACTTGTTTTGGCGCTAGAGTCCGCTGAAGTCTCAATGTTGTTTTTTTTTTCTCCTGATAAATTTTTCAAGTTGAGCTATTATTATTTCATTTGTTGATAGGATTAGTCACTACAAGAATTTTTCTTCAATATTGTTGCTGTTGTTCAAGAATTATGCAGTGTGTTCTAGCAATTATGGGGGAGATAAAATATGATACTATCCAATAATTCAATAAACGCATTTCAATTATGAAACAGTTATTTATTATTATCATTATTATTTCATGTTCACCTAGTATATAAAGAGGAGACATACAACGATATTAACACGTTCTATAACAGTAGCAGATATTATCAGTAATATCAGTATTCATTTGCATCCTCAGATGAATATTCCTTGTAACTTCGTCAATAAAATATGATTATACCTAGTATATTTTTTCAAATGCATGTCAATATATTTCAGGCAGGATCGCAGATATTGAATAGTTTGAGAACTCTGTTACTTGTGCTGATTTATTGATGCTGTGTATATACGAACCTATTTTAAGAGGGAAAACGCAAAATGACATTCCTTCTCAAACCTTGACAAATAGGAGATTAATACTATTAGAAAAAAACATCACATTAATATTGAATATTGAAATATTTTTTTGATTCGAATATCATTCAGCTGCTGTTATATGGAACGGGTTGATATCTTCGTTTATCTTCTCCTTATACAAAGGGTGAACATGGAATTAGAATAAGCGTATTTTGTAATTGAAATGAAACATTTCTCGATTTATCATTTCTCGATACCTTTTCCTATAAAGTTAATGAATATCATTATTGTCTTGAACAATAATAGCTGGAACACATTATATAATTGTTGACCAGTAGCAACACAATATTGATAAATACTTCTAGTAGTGACTTATCCTATCAAAAAATAATATAATAATGACTCAAAGAGCTTAATTTATCAGGGGAAGAGAGATCAAGACTGAGACTTCAGCGGCCTCTGGAGCCAAAACTAGCCATTAAAACGGTTTGGTATTTGGACATTTTGTCTTGGACTATAACATATCAAAAATTCAGCCAATTTGACATAAGCCAATTTTCCCTATAAAACGTGCGGTGTCCTTTACTACTTACATGTGAGGTTATACCGGAGCCTTACATATCACAATTTCTCGACATGAGTTGCATATTTTATGCTACTTCACAAGCATGACATGGGCAAAAAAATACAAAGAAGGAATAGTTGAAGTTGAGTTCCAGAAATGATGACCTATAATATGAGCTTCTGAAATCTAGTTTTAGTATGTAGGGCAGTATACTTATTTTTATAATGAATATGTTAACAGCGTGATTTGAAAAATGTCTTCGTTGTTCTCTTCCAAGTATTGCTATCTTTGTCTTCAGGGGTTTCACTTGGAATTATGAAAATGTAAGAGTTGACAACGCCGAAAAAAGTTATAACTTCATCAATTTTTTAGTCATAATCAGGAAAGACACTTTACCCTCTCAGCAGTGGCTAAACTGTCCTTAATATACTTAATGTTTGCAGTGTGTGATGATACGGTAATGAATTGTGAAATAAATTCAACATTCATAATCTGACAAGGGTTTGCAATAAATCGAGGGTACGTCAATTTCATATTTTGAAACCCATTATTTGAACTGAACTGTCTCACATTTGAAGTGAGAAAAGGAAACATTTCCATCATTTTCAATTTCTTTCAAGATTCTAATAGCCCAGTTCATTAAGTACAACTTCAGTACTTTTTTGGTATTCCACCTTCCTGACATGATGACCTACAGGGTGATATCTGAATATGTGATTATTTTCGAAAAGTTTGAGATCGCCCCATTTGGCAGGGACTTTTTTTGTTTCATTGAGGGTGCTAAGATAAGATGTTTGCATTCTGATATGTTCAACCAACATAAACTCAACTTCAAAAGAATATTAGATTAGCTTATCCTGCTCAACGCTATCACTATACCGATCACTATGATACTCAACTTCGGCAGGGGTGTAGGATTTGAGAATTGTTAAATTTTGCAATATTCTCCCATCTATTCCGGTTTGACCAGAAACGACCCAAACTTTTTATTCGCAAATGGGACTCACCCAGTATTTTATCCCATTATTGGTTAGGGATTATTATTAAGAATTCAAGGATACTGGGTTTGATAGGGTTATTTCGAACGATTACGAAGATATTCGCGTTCGAAATTTTTTTATTCTCAGTGAGTTTGACAGAGAAAGAAGTTTCGATATTGATGCGCTATCACACCCATTGCATTGCATATTATGGAAACTTCGAACGCAAATATCTTGACCCATTCGAAAATCAAAAGTTCGGTAAATTCACCGGAAGTGATGGGAGAGTATGAAACATAAAAAAAATTACAACTCTTGTTATACAAACACAGCTTCAATTAACTACTAACAAATTCATTTGTTGCTGTCAATAGTTATTGTCAATATGTTGTTGCACCTCCCCTAGCAGCTTAGAGAGTCCTCATTATTTTTGTCATTTACCGATTATCGAACCATTCATGAAATTTTGGAATATAGCTATCCACTCTTCCTGTATCGCGTCCTCTATTTGGCCATGATTCATTATTACTGCTTTCCTTCTCTATATGTGTATTAGCACTGCTCGGTATAGGGTTAACAGAACAGAATCAGTCCCTCTGAAACCTTGCACCTTTATTAACACTCAACACAATGTATTCTTTACAACGCTTCAAATAAGAATGAATCAACCTAAATGCCTCCTGATCGGATACAGTCATTTGTAGATAGGTGACTAAACCTTATGTAACCACTAACTGTAGCTCTGTGCTTCTAATGGTACAGGGCGTCCGGCATCTGGCTAGTCGCTAACATGTGTTATATCGAATTCATGTCGGCGGGAACGAGTATTTTTTTTATTTCTTGGAGGAAAACCTAGGAAGGATAGGGAGAAAAGTTAGGCAATATTATGTTGTCTTGAAACTCCAGTGACAATTCTCGCACGATATCCTAGTTTATTATCAGCCAGTATGAAATTGTCACCAACATTTCGGACAACTCGAACTACAACTTCTCTGACACAATACATATCTTGATACCGCAGATCACTCATACAAACCCTAGATATGCACCGTAAATATAAGAATGGGCAAGAAACCAACGTTGAGTTTACGGTGGTTTTGTGATCACCTTATGTTATTTTATTATTGTTGTTTGTAATCAACTTCCTCATACCAGAATTTTATTTCTGACTGGAAGATATTTTCTCAATAAACAATAAACAAATTTCGAGGAAACTCACTATCCTTCATTTTATCGCACTCAATAAAACATCTCAAAAAATCGCTGTGAAACGGGGCGATCCCAAACTTTTCGAAAATTATCACATATTCAGATATTACCCTGTGGGTCTCCATGTCGGAAAGGTGAAATAACAAAAAAGTACTGAATTTGTACTCAATGAAATGGGCTAGTAGAATCTTGAAAGAAATTTAAAATTGGTTGATCCAATCCAAAGTTATGACGGTTCGAAAATGATTTGAAGTTTCTGCTTATCTCACTTCAAATGTGGGGCAGTTTATATGAGAATTAGAGAAAATGATGAACATTTGAACGAAAATATAATGAGCGTTGCTTTTTTAATGGGACCTAATAGGAAGTACGAGTACGGAGATGAGGTCAAAAAACTACCATTTGCACAATGATTTTGATTTGTCCGTTTTGTTAATTTTGCATTTGAGATAGTTCGCCCACTGTTCGTGGTACCCACAATCCAACCAGAAATCATTGAATTGGTATTATTTCAGATGTAAATAAAAAAATGCGTCTTTAGGCTCCAAAAGGCAAAATCGACGTTTTTTGCAAACCATAGGTAGAACAAAAATACAAATGGATGTAACGGGTCTTCAACAATGGTTGAGAGCCACGTGGCCATTTTTAATGTAGTGGCTCTTCCATACCTACTATATGAAAAACTCGTTCCTTTATAGAACTGGAAAGCTCTGGAATTCATTGCCTGAGGAAGTTTTTCCGAGAACTTATCTCCGAAAGTTGAAAAAAAAATCCAACACGTGGCTCTCAATCATTGTTGAAAACCCTGAGTTATCCAGCACAACCTCAAAGTAATTGTGATTTTTTTTCCAGAGCCATATTATGTATCTTATGCCTAATTATAAGCATATTAGTATAATCAGGAAGCAAGATGAAGAAAACTACTTCTATTGTCCTCTAGAATGTGTATATATAGATGCCTTATTCTTACCTTAACATTTTAATTCAATTATTTGTTTTTTTTATTGTGTTTTGTGATATAATTAATATTACTTTTGTATTTTGTACCCTTTAATATTTTTTAAATAAAAATATTACACATAGGTAATGCACAATAGCTTCAATACAATATCTTTCAACCATACATATAACCTCTAATAACATTCTTGCAAATATTTCACTTTTAGTTCAGGATATCTGGTATATTCCATTCCACCTCTCCTTTTTTATCAATCTTCCACTAAAATCTCGAATACCGATTAAGTGATAGCTGCGACTAGAGACAATATAATATAAGGAAGGAAATAAATCAACTAGGAAATTTGTATATCGCTACTTCAAAGTTGGGAACCAACTCCCCAGAAGTCGAAACTTGTGCGGGGTTAGGAAGAGTAATAGTTCATAAAATGAACGAAAATGGTAGATAACGAGAGAAAAACAACTACTTTCCTGGCTGTATGCTACGCAGAACATAGGATTAGATCCTCCCGAAAACTATGCAATAATTCGTCTATAAGAGTTGTTTCTTTCCTTGCCATGTATCCATAGGATACATGAATTTCTTGTTCACTGACCTTTGTGAATAAGATCCGTTGTAGTAGATAAAAACTCTTCGATTCGCTGAGGTGTCAAAGTTTTCGATTTCTCAGGTTTGTATCCATATTATTCTGATTGCATAATTTTCCTCACATGAATATTGTGTTTTAAGTTTATTGTCATACATACTTACCTACGAATGAATTGCCCACAAAGATGCGAGCTTCATGTTTACACAGAGTTCTTGTAAATATGCATCAAGTACCTACTTACTTGAAACATGCTTGAAACATTCTAGTGTAGAGGAGAACGAGGCAAAATCCTCGTCCTTACAAGACTTTTTTTGTTTGGGAGTAGAAAGATATGGGACCTTCACCATCTCGAATATAATCGAGTACTATAAATTCAGCATCATGGAATGAGAAATCGAAAAATTTCGAACCGAAGGAGAAAAACGATCTCGTACATTCATATGTTTCTTGATGGAGAGTTGAATGATTTATTTGATAAAAGATTGATGTATCTCGTGATTTGTCAGGTGTAGATTTATTATGGCAGTATCTCCGATCCGAGAGGAATGGTGAATTTGAAAATCATTCATCAACTGCTGCTAATATTTGATTGCATTTCGCGCATTAGATAGGAAAATGACTAATATTGGAAATCATGCATTATTAATTGTTCTTTCAGGGGGTGGTCTAGTGGGTACGGGTAGAGTCACTGGATGGTTACGGGAAAGGTGTTACGGGGTATGGGAAAAATCGCATCCTAAGAATTGATCGACTTTTGATGTATGTAACTGAGTTCAGTGCTTGCTCTGAGCATCGCCAATATCGCCAAGGACACAAATGAACTGTGTTTTCCTAAAGAGCGGCATAAATATGAAAGCAACCCTTCAAAAAAATTGTTCGCACGACTATGTTAGTTTTATTATCTTCTTCTTTTTTGGGCGTAACCATAAGCAGAGAAAAGTGTCTTGCAATAAATTGTGACGGTGGCTTCATAGTTCATTGGCTAGTTCTAGAAAGACTAGAAAAAGTAGAAAGTAGGTAGACGTAGAATCGTAGGAAGCTATCTTCAGGAATATTATGATTTATGAATTTATGATTGGTCTTGAGAGTGAGAACTTGAGATGAAAATGAAATGCTTAATAACATATGAGAAGGTCAGAAAAGTGAGCACTCTGAGAGCCTTGAGGGTCTGAGTTTTTTGAGTTAGATGAATGTTAGATGTTAGATCAGATTTTAGGTGTCTGCAGCTGTTAAGTCTACGCGTGCTTTGGTTTGGGTTAAGGTTTTGGGTGTTGTCTAGGTGCCTAAAAAAACACTTGATAAGCTTTTATCACCAGCACAAATTATTCAGTTTTGTGGTTCAATTATGGCATCTGCCAGTAGTACGAGTGCACGTTCACTATTTGGGGATTCAAAAATGCGCCTGGCTGATCGAGTTCAAGTTAATGTCAATAATATATCTTCTCTAGCTAGACAAATTAATAGAGGGTCCAAAAGTGCCGAGGTAAATGAACTGATATAAACTAAAATTACTTTTTCAACTAGATGAGATATCTTTTAGATTTTGATGCATTCTGCTCGAAATTTCGCAGCACAAGAACAAGCTATGGAAAACAGTGGAAATAACTTGAAAAAATTACAACTTCTCTGTGTCCATTTGGGGTATCAACAAGATGCCATGCTAAAATCTGCTCAACAGTTAGAAGAAGTAAAAGAACAAGTGTGTGCAATGCAGAGATGATTTTCGAAAATTTGAGTCACCATTTTAGAATTTCATTATTATTTATTTTATTATTTGGCGTCGTTGGCGACATGGTTGGCGACAAGTTCTGACATTTAGATAATTTTAACCTCTTTTTGCTTACTTCAGTTACTTCTCTACTTCTGTTCGCTTGGTACTCAGTAGTACATTTACATTCATAGATAAGATAAGAGAAGAAATAGAAGATAACCACTTGGGATCACCGGCATCGGTGATAAGAAACAAGGAAGAAGAAGATTAATTTGCGTCGAAAGTCAGTCGAAAGTGGAAATGTATTTTGATTTTGATATACACTGCTTTGAATTTGGATGTTGAATGAATTCATTTCTTCAAAAAATCCCATGTGTATTTTTTTCATGTTAAATAATTCATTGGTAAGAATGTATTATTTTTTGTTCATGCAATATACTACCTATTTGTATGCTTAGATCTGCTTAGATAATGCTATTTTACATTTATATCACATTCCATTTGTTGATATCTGGGATGCCAGATGAGTGACATGGTTTGGATAGTTTGATTATATGGTTTGATTACTTTAAAAAAGGCGGACATAAAGTATGGTAATAATACCTTTTTGCTTTTCCAAGCATCCATGCATATCCATGGCAAACTAATTTACCACCTCATTTTATATTTTCAGTCTGTTGATAGAAAAAATGTTCTTGTTGAACAGATACATTAGGTCTTCTGTTTCAAAAATTAAGTGTAGGAGATATCAACAAACCCAAGCAAAAGTGCAATACCCAAATAACTTACCTAATGGACCAGTATTCAGAAATGCCCAATTTTTTTCTGAAAGAATAGCTCTCAGAGATAGAATTGCAGGATATACTTATGCCAACATTTTTGTGAGTGCCAATGAACTTTCCAAAGAAATCACAAAATTGGTTCAGGGGCATACAGGCGAGAGAGTGATGTTTATGTGCCCCAATGATGTAAATTATGTTATAACTTTGTGGGCCATCTGGATGTCAGGACAAATAGGTGAGTGAACTTTTTTCTATCTGAGACTTATTGGTATGGTATAATTATAATAGAGGTCTAAATAGACTGAAGTTGTGGAGTTTGTTTCTCAAAGCCTCAAGGGCTCTCAACAACCACTGAAGCAGGGATTAGGTGCATTCAGGCCCATGGTTCAATTGGTTTATACACATTTTTTTTTCATTTTCAGGCAAATTATAACTAAAATTTGGTAACCTGTCAATGTTCACTTCAATTTAACATGTACCAGTTGATTTATTTCCTTATTAGCATTCTTTTGCTTTCAAATAATAGTTGCTTTTTCATGTGGAACTGTTTAGTCCCTACTGTTCCCTAAAGGACAAAAAATCCCTTAGGGGAAATACTAGAAGATGAAATAGGATGTCCTGAATATGTTATGCAATGATGGTCAGGCAAATTGCAAAATTCCATTGGCATGTGTCAATGGAATAGTAAGATATAATATTTTCTATTGGATCTTATAAAAATCCTGTTTAAACATGATAGGTTCTTGAATAAGCCTCTTTTTCCCTGGAATTTGTTTTGACCAATTTTTAAGGCAAAGAAAGAACAGGGACTGCCAATCTCACAAGAGATGAAGACAGACACTATCAATTCCATTCCAGCAATTTCAGATGCCTGTATGTTGTAGGAGGGGTACCTCATAAGACACATGACACATAATATGCTTATTAAATCATTATTCTGATCTAGAAAAAGTACTCTTAAAATCCTTATGGTGAATTTCGAGTTAGTATAATTCTACTTCATACTTTCAGCCTCTCTTTTGGCATAACATGGTACACAAGTAAATTTTAAATGATAATATGTTACTATTTTCATTCATTTTGTTTACAAGTTGGGCTGTGCCTGAAAATAGATTTTGATAAATATTTCTCCAAGTAATTATCACATTTATTATGGAATCCAGATTGATTATAACAATAAACATCTTTTATCAGGGTCATCCGCAAGGGAGGGCTGAGGGGGGGGGTGTCTGCCCCCCCTAGTGCCTTGCCCTTACTCAGATACATCCCCAATAAAATAGATTTTCAGTATTCAATCCTCCATTCAATCCCTATTTTGTTTGTTGAGGCTTGCAAATTATTGGACTTGCCCAAACAAATAAATGATCTAGATAAGAAAGCTTACACTCCAAATGTTCAGTCATTACACATTGTATAGTTTCAAAAGCAATGTTAGTGCTGAAGCAGATATTTTATAGGACATTTAAAATAAATGTAATTTGTTATGGAGTATAAGAAGTATTTGGCATGTTGGTCAAGAATGAACTGTAATATCATGGGTTCCTCCTATTATGTTTTATTCAACAACAGAGGACTCTTACATCTTTTTGATAAATTGATTATAATTGGTGACTTGACAACCTTGCTTTGTGAGTGGCAATGGCAGATCATGTGACCAATAATGTAACAGCATAAAAGCTGACCATGATGGTACGTTTGAAATGAGCTCCGACATTTATCAATTTCAAACAATACATAAATTAATTATTTACCTAAAAAAAGTGTGAGAAGCGGTGCAAAAATTAAGTTAGGTCCCTATAATGACACAGTGGAGTAATTGAATGCCAATAATTCATTATAAGTCCACTCGCTCATTTTGCATGCGGCATTATTCGTTTCACAAAAACGTAAGGCAGAACGTAAAAACCACAACACTATCTCAAAAGATAACAGAGATATCGCAGATATTGTTCGAAAGCATTGAAAACAGGACACACATACACAATGAATTCCTTTATTTTATATCTTTTCAACAACTATGTACTTTGATTTTTATCATTTCCTCATAAAACTTCCATGCTATTTCATATCAATTATCTGATCTGTGCCACAGTCTAAAAACCGTATACAGAGTGAACTTCTCAATATCTACTAAATTGTACATAAGTGGCAGCATTGCATGTAAATGAGGTTGTTGGAAAGTTATGATCAAAGAAATTTTTGCAAGTCATAAATTACCCTAAATGAGGGGTTAGATACTTCATAAAGGTTATCTGATGGTTCCTCAACTGTCACTTGAGGGGATTTTCATAAGGGAAATTTGGTGTACAAGTGATGGGAATTTATAATAAATTGAGAGAATTTAATTTTTAGTATTTTGGGAATTTGAGGAGAATTTCAGGGGAATTGTGAGGGTTTAAGAGGAATGAGGGCTTACACTTTCAGTATCAGTAGTTAGCGTTACTAGATCGTGAGGTCAATGTCAAAGTTAAAAGTAGAAAAATATCTTTTTCTACAAGCGTGCGTGATTCACCCTATACCCGCACACTAGTGCGGGAAATTTTTTTCCGCACTAGTGCGGGAAAACAAAGATGTAATAAAATCGCTAGTAATATAAGTGGTTGGTGATGGAATATAAAAGTTACAGTTTGTTTGTTGCAGTATTAAGTATGTATGTTCAGAATCATCCATCAAATTGCACTATTTATTGTAAAAATTAAGAAATATTGAGAAATAAATATTGATTATTATAAAAATCCCCCTATAGATTTGGATTGATCTGACGGGAAACGTCAATTTGTCATGCCAATCAAACCTCAAATAAGTTTGAAATTGTCGAAGTGACAGACACAGCGTTACTGGCTATATTCCGAATTCAACTGACAGTACTGAATCTGCTGAATTTTCATTCCGAAATCAAAAAAATTTACTGAAAGTGACAGATACTCGTGAGCAGATATACTATTCATTCCAAATATTTCGACTCAACATTCTGCTGAAATTGCTGGCTATCAAAAGGTAGTGTGGCTTCAGTGAACTGTCATTATTTTTGAGGGGAAAGGAATGACACATTCATTTTCGTTGTTTTTCAAACATTGAGTCTTGGCTTATCAATAATACATTAATAATATCATTTTGATATCAGAAAATGCCTGTTATTTATGCTATATTCCGAATTCAACTGGTCAGTACTGTCAGTAGATCCACTGAATCTGCTGAAAATCTGTGTTCCGAAATATAAAATAAAAAATACAGTGCTGTAATTCGGGACACGTTTTCATGGTTTTCATAGAGGTAGTCAGCAGCAGTTGATCAGCTGGTGAAATTTGTCAGTCTGTAGTTTCTCGTTTATCTGGACTAGATATTTAATATTTAATATTTAACATGGAAGAGCAATCGATTCTTGTAGCCTCCATAGTTTCTACGATTATTGACTATGACGATTCAAGCTCGAGTGATGAAGAGAATACTTGGACATTTTGTTGCCATTTATTTTTCATGATGCACCAGATTAAGAATTCATGGAAAACGTAATGATGATGAATTTAGGAGACATCCCAGGTTTATTTAGTAATTTATTCAGCCAATGCTGCTTCTTGTTTCGATACCTCTACTACTTCATACTCCATATTATTCTCAGCTTATTATTTAAATAACAGCTATTTTCTGATATTGAAAATAATATCATTAACAACGGAAATAAATGTTACATTCCTTCCCCCTCTGAAATAATGACAGTTCACTGAAGCCACACTACCTTTTGATACTCAGCAATTTCAGCAGAATGTTGAGTCGACATATTTGGAATGAATAGTATATCTGCTCACGAGTATCTATCACTTTCAGTAAATTTTTTTGATTTCGGAATGAAAAATCAGCAGATTCAGTACTGTCAGTTGAATTCAGAATATAGCCTTATTTAGCTCAAGCAGGAGCATCTGCCAGATCAATGGCAACTGACAAATTTTACCAGCTGATCAACTGCTGCTGATTACTGATGGAAGCGTGTTCCGAATTACAGCACTTTATTTTTGATTTTATATTTCGGAACACAGCTTTTCAGCAGAGTCAGTGGATCTACTGACAGTACTGACCAGTTGAATTCGGAATATAGCCACTGTCATTTTCGATTCAGTGGAAATGCCACAATGTGATCAAAAACTTCTAGCTATAGGGATTTGATACAGATGCGTTATCACCGACGAAGTCTAAGGAAGGTATGAGAAGCTATTCACGCGTTTTATTGAATGGTGCAACAATAAAGAAATGAAAAAACCGAATGAAGAATAGGTATTTTTGGCTCATTGCATAGAAGTGTCTGGAACCTAGAGACCAAACTCCTAATGGGCCTGCTGGCTTCCGCAATGAACCAACCTAATGCGTCAAACTGTAAGTTCACAATAGCTATTACTAATAATTAATAAATAGAGAATATATATCTCTTGTTAGTTGTTCCTATTTGCTTGAATAATTAATTGAACGATTCAATCAATTTCCTATACGCTTGTAGAAAAAATATTGTTCCTAACTCATGCGGAAAGTTTCTTTCCCGCACTCGACTGCTTGCCCGAACTCCGCTTCGCGTCGTTCGTGTCAACGGCAGTCACGTGCGGGAAAGAATCACTTTCCGCACTTGTTAGGAAAATTACTATTTTTTCTGTGACGGGAAAAAAGTTTGTCATTTCATCTCTGTTGGCAGGTTATAAAATGTCGCTTTTCATAAATTACTTTTTTCCCGTGGGAAACAAGTGAGTACTTTTTTCCCGGATATATATCACATATATATACACTGTTGATTGCTTTTGTTGTGCTACAGTTCCGAAAAATGAGTCAATAATACCGTATCCGAGAAAGAACTGCAAGTCCTTTTATCTTCCATTCGACTTCGCGGTTACGTATATTACTAAACAACCACTAAATTCGAAATTTTTTGAAATCAAATCACAGAATTAGACTGACAGGAGTGACATCAGATATTTGATTACTTCAAAAGAATGATAAAGATGCCTACAACGCAGGTGTCCCTACTGTTAAAAACTTAAAATTTCACGTCGATGATTTACAGATTTCAAAATAATGTAATATCTTCTCAATATTGATTCGTCCTTTCTTCTGTCACAAAAAAAAAATAGTGTATAATAAATAACTATTTATGGCCATGAAGGCTGAAGTCTGTTTTTTTAAACTTCATAAAAAAATGTTGTGGCATGAATCCGGAATGGCCTGAGTAAACAAATAAAAAAAACTTAGGTAAGG